TACAGTCTTCCCCTTCCTTCCCTTACCCTGCGCGGTTCTAGGTTCTAGCAGAGACAGAAGAGTCGGGGACCCAGAAAGAGAGAGAGAGAGAGAGAGAGGGGGGGGGAGAGCAGATTGAACTGGGATGTTTGGCTCCAGGCACTTTTGTATGACCTGGGAACTGAGAGGTTCTTCACTTTCTAGAAGCTTCCTTGGGGTGTGTCAATAACTGCTTGCAGTGCTACCTCTCCAGGTTCCTTTGCAGGAAGAGCTTGGGGCACCTTCCATCCTTAGTGTGCCTTGGGGCTTGGGTGGAGGGTGTGTGTCAGAGAGCTTCCTTCCTCACTCATCTGACCTACTTCTCTGAACTTCTTAGGTGTCCCCCTGGGTTCCCTCAGGCTGCCATCTCAGTCTCCCTTTCCTGGCCTGGGAAAACGAAGCCTAGTAGGGAGAGACTTGGCCTGTCTGTTTAATGTGGCCTTAACCTGTTCCAGCCAAAGGTCAGATGATTGCTGATTTAATCCAGTCATGTCTTTAAGCAGTTAGGCCTGATTCTGCCAGAGCGGTGACTGCTTTCTGTGTCTATTCGGCTGTGAACTTTCTCCAGAGCTAAGCATGGAGGACAGTAGGGCACACCACGGAAGATTGGAACCTTGCTCATGCTCCTGCTGGAGGCCTTTCAAAGGCCAGACCTGTCAGCTTTAGGCAGGGCATCTGGAAACAGTGACCTGCTAAGAGTTGGCCTGTTAGCCCCAGGCTCTGATGGACCCAGCCTTCATGCTGGTTCTCATGTGGCTAGAACAGAAGAGGAAAAGAACCTTGCTACCGTTCCTATCAACCCAACTAAGCAAGACATCTGTACTGGAGCTCTGCAGGTTAAAAAAAAAAAAAAAAAAAAAAAAAAAATGCCAGCGCCAGCCTTACACTTACAGCTCTGTTGACATCTGCTCATGCCCATTCCCAGAACCCCATGGAATGAGAATGGAGCCTTGGAATGCCTGAGCTAGCAGTTGCCTCTGTGTGGACAGGGTGTGGTCAGAAGCCTTCTTCCGCCTCCGGCAAAGGTCTCTTTCCTGACCTGGAAGGCAGTTGGGTAGAGACCCCAGAGGCACATGTATGTCCCAGGCTCCAAGTCTTTGGAATATTGAGTGGCCTGGGAGTAGAGCTGCCGGGTCTGAGATGAAGATGAAGATGCACCCTGGGTAGGTCTGGGCCCCCGCATCACTGTTTCTGGGGTACTTCCTTTCCTGCCCCTCCCAGTTCCAACACACATCCCCAAGCCCCGCCTCCCCACTCCTGTTTCCCTCTTTCATATTCTTTTCTTTAAAGAAAAAGTTGTGGTGTGTGTGTGTGTGTGTGTGTGTGTGTGTGTGTGTGTCTGTGTCTGCGTAGGCTGATAGAGAATGCCTTCCTCCATCAGTCTCTACCCTATTGTGTTAAGATGGTCTCTCACTGAACCTGAGCCCTCCTATAGGCTGGACTGACTGCCCAAGAAGCCTCAGCTGCTCGGCTCCTCCTGTCTCTTCATACCTTGCCTCTTATGCCTGCTCAGTGACAGGATTGCAGACCCCTAACATATACTCAGCTTTTTACCTAGGTGCTGGAGGCTTGAACTCAGGTCCTCCTGACTCAAGCACTTTACCCCCTGAGCCCTCTCCTCTCCGCAACCCATTTCTTCTCACCCTTCCTTCTTACCCGCTGCATTCCCCCACCCCTCCCTCCCTTCCACACCTCTCTCCTCTTCTTTATTCCTTTAATCATTTTCACCTTCCCCTCCTTCCTTTCCCTCCCTCCCCCACAAGAAATATTTAATGGATATTAGATTATTTTAAACCAACTTTCTTATTTAAAAAATAGCTTGGTGATAGTGCTGACTCAGGACCATCTCCCTGTTTAATATTGAATATGCAATTAATAGATAGATGTTTAGGTTCGGCTCTCCTCCCCCCCACCCCCTCCACCGCAGCAAGAATAAAAGAGCTGATTAATCTGGCTTGGGGCAAGTGTCAGAGCAGGAGATATATGGGAGAAAGGCGATGAGGTTAGCAGCTTGGAGTTGGAGAGCAACTGCCTCCCAGGCAAGGGATGGGTGAGGAGTATTAGAATAGGCATTCAGCTGGGCTGGGACTCGGGGGATGTCCCTCACCCACATCAGTCCTGGAGAACCTGCTGGAGCCAGGCCTGCCTGATCCCTCTGAGGCTTCTCTAGGAGAAGCCCTCCTTGTTCAGGCCACTCTGGTTTCTCCCCCCCCCCCAGCTCTGGGGATCCCTTTCCTTCAAGTCTAGAAGTGCCGTTGTCTACGCCTGCGTTAACTGCTAGCACTTGCACCGAATAGCCTGCCTGGACTTGAGAGCCACCCTCTGTCATGTGGCTCCCTGAATATGACAGTGAGGCACTGCGTGTCTGGGTGACTTGCACCCAGCTCTTACCGGGCCTGTATTCTGGACACCATTTCTAGGAGAGACCCTGAACCCTGCCATGGGTCTCTTATGCCCTGAGTGAGGCTGAGTAAGGCCATGATCCTGACTTCATCAAGGAGGAAACCAGAGTGGAAAGAGGGAGCCTGTGGACTTGCTCACTTAGGTCCTTTACACTGGAGTACCTCAGTTATCGGGGTTCTGAGTGTTCAGTGAGCCTTCCCTGGGTGAGATGTGTCCGTGCTCTAAGACAGGAGGTGCCTTTGGCTGGCACCAGGTATCTGCTTGAGCCCTGGTGGGTAGGACCTGACGCTCAGGTCAAGAAGGGCCTGGGCCAGATAAGTGCTTGTAACAGGGCTCTAGGGAGTGTTCTGGAAGGAACACTGGGACCAGTGCCACCTTCAGTGACACTGGAGTTTCCCTCATTTCAACTGACTCTGAGTTTTAAGTGTCTTTGGTGTATTTTATTTTCTTGTAAGCTTCTAGGGGAAAAGAAAGAGGAAGAAAAATGGCTAGCCAAGCTTAATGGGTAGTGAAAGCCAGGGGCAGAAGTCCTTGAGTCTGGAGAGATAGTGGCCAAGGGGCATCTGGGCCAAATCCTACTGTGGTGGGAGGCTTGTCAGAAGAAGCCAGGAGACTTTGCAGGAGACAGAAGACAGCTGGGGCTAAACTGATGCCTCCATTTCATCCCCCTGCCCTCCCTCTTGCGTAATGGACTGTCTCCAGACTTCTCTGGCCCCTATGGGCTTGTTAGTTTTATGTCATCTTGACACAGGTTATAGTCATTTGAGATACAGGAACAACCATGATTGAGAAAATGCCTCCATAAAATCAGGATGCAGGCAAGACCATGGAACATTTTCTTAATCAGTGATGGTATGGGAGGGCCCAGCCCATTGTGGACATGTTCCACCTCTGCACAGGTAGTCCTGAGTTCAATAAGAAGTCAGGCAGAGCAGGCCATGGAGAACAAGTCAGTTAGCACCCCTCTAAGGCCTCTGTATCAACTCCTGCCTTCAGGTTCCTGCCTTGTTTAAGTTCCCTGCCCTGACTTCCTTCAATGATGGACCATGATGTGGAAGTGTAACCCAGATAAACCCTTTCCTCCCCAACTTGCTTCTGATCACGGTGTTCCATCATGACAATGGTAGCCAGAACTAGGACACTTTCCCTGGTGATTCTTGTTCTGGGAGGGACCCTTACCTGGTGGATGAGTGGCCAAGACCTCTCACTGCTGACCAAGGTTGGAAGCAGGTGCCCCTTCCCCTTTCCCTGCATTCCAGAGTCTCCTGCTAATGAGGCTGACTGTCTGGTTCATCATCTGCTGAGCCTGTGGGTGCTTGGGTGGGAGAATCTGCCATTGGTGGATAGGACAGTGTCCTCTTGGGGGGGGGGGAGTCCAGGGTCTGATCAGGGACTGAGTTTGTCCACATTTCTGAGGGTAATGTTGAGTGCTGAAGCCAGGCACGTGCAAGGTAAATGTGAAATTGGAGGCTGAGGGTAGACTTCATGTGAAGCAGAAAGGGCAGCATCATCCTTTGCAAGGCTATTAATTAGTCTGGACCCTAGCAGGGCCCCGTGGCTCCCTTCCCTCTCTTGTGCTGAGGCTTCTCCTCCTCTCTCTCAGGTAAGCCTGTATGCTTGGTACCATGGGAAAGGCAGCTGGCTGTGGACAGAATCCAGGCTTGGGTGACAGAGGCCCGACCTTTGATGCTGGAGGTATTCTTTATCATTGTCTCTTACTTCCTTTTCAGAGTGTAGTGTGGTTGAATCCTACCTAGGGGGTATCTAGAGACTGAGCACAGGTCACCCTGGAGCTGAGGTTGGGAAGCAGTGTTGCTACAAAGGCACTGAATTTCCTTCCACCAGAATTGTTGCCTGGTAACAGAGATGTCCCTGGCTGGCCACAAGTCTTGTCTTCCTAAGGCTGAGCGTCTGGGGTTTGTCTATCTATATCTATCTATCTATCTATCTATCTATCTATCTATCTATCTATCATCTGTCTGTCTCTTTCATGTGTGTGCATGGGGTAGCATTTGTGGGTAAAACCATGTCCTTCTCCCTCTGTCCTCTTCCGGACATCTGTCTGCCTGCTTGGATCCACCTTTGCAATCTTTTATCTCCATGCTTGCCTTGTGCGGCCAGGCCTGCACCCTCACCACAGTGCCTGCCTCTCGGATTCTCAGACGTGTTCCTTCACAGCCTTGACTCTTCTTAGAACAAGATCACAAGCATTGCTTCTCTCCTAACGAAGCAACAGTGTTCAAATCCCATCACAGTGGGTTTTTCTTGACAGCACCCAAATGGACACTTTTTTTTTTTTTTTTGCCTAAGAGAATGGAAAAGGATACCTCCTACATGGTTCCTTGGTTCATTAGACAAGTATTAAACCCTTCCCCTCCTGCCTGCAGGCCCCAGTCTCCTAGGCCCTCCCTATTGTCTTTCCACATCATCAGTCACCCAGAACAACAAAGGCCTGCTCCTAACCTTCAGTGGGTTGGGGGAGCAGCAGGAAGAGGAAGAGGTAGGGAGTCGCTGCAGCCAGACAGGGTGGGGGAAGAAAGGAGGAGGAGGGGAGGAGTCAGAGACAAGTGGGCCCTCACGTGAAGGGGGCTGGCGCAGGCAGCTACTACCTCCTCGGCTCTCGCTGTCCGCAGGCTTCACCTGGATCGGCCGGTTCATCTGCAACAGAGAAGAGGAACATCATTACAGGGAACCTGGGGCCAAAGTGCTCAAGAGCACAGATGCCAGTGTGTAGGACACGGCCACATTGGGAACCCACACACCTAGAGACAAGCACATACATTCCTTCAAGGTTCCACCCACCTTCGTCCACCACCTCACCCTCCAAAGCCCAGTACCGCGCATGCATGCAAGAGAGTAGATGGAGGGCCTCTGGGTCGGAGAAGCTATAGGCCTCCTTGCTCCTTGACTAGCTCTCAATACCCTGATACCAGAATTTCAAATACAAGCCTATTTCTCCTCTCTTTACCCAGAAGGTCCTGCTGTACCTGAGGCACACTTGTGGTCCAGCCTTAGGTCCCTCAGCCCAATTGGCTTTGCCGAGTTAGTCCCTGCAGGGTATCAGACTTCAGACCCTGCCATCTCTAAGCCTGGCTGTGAGACAGAGGTGGCGGAGGACTTGGTTCCTATATCTATGTTTAGAGAGGAGCTCAAGGCTGGGGTTACTGAAGGCAGTCAGAGAGATCCGCCGAGGGTAGAACAGACACCACCAATTGTCTAGTGCTTGTCAGGGCACTAAGGCACCGGACTGCCTGCGCAGGCTTCTCCCTGGAACTGGTGCGGTACTACATTTGGCCACTAGGGGTCTCTGAACTCCAAGCTTCTTGGCTCAAACCGCTCTGAGGTTTAGGGTGGTCTTGCCAGCTTTGGGTTCCCGCCGTATTTCAGACAATAAAAATTATAGAAACCACACAATGCGACGTTCTTTATGTCTTCACCATGTTTCTCCTGTATGCCTGCCCACGATCCCTTTTTGCAATTGCATTTCTCTCACAAGAACAGGTCCTAAGAGGCAAGGAGAGCAGCAAAAGCACCCCATTTTAAAGACAGAGAAGCCGAGGCCAAGAGACAGTCAGTCACCTGCTTTCCAGGCCACCTTGCGGCAGAGTCTGCAAAGGCTATTTCTGCACTTGCTCCCACTGCACCTTAAGACCTTCTTGCCAATTTCCCTCCCTTATGGGGCCTGGACCAGCAGTCACAAGCTGCCTCCTGCCTTCCGGTCTAGGATTTGAAGTGAGTTTTGGCTGCATCCAGACAACTGGGGGTTGCAGGGAGGATGTTTGTGACTCAGCAAGGTGAAGCTGAGGCCAGGGGAAGGGCAGAGCTACGCAAGGAAGGACAGAGGCAGCACGCAGGACCGCAGGACCGAGTGAGGGCAGACGGAAGGAGATGCAGGAGCCAAGGCCAGCAAGACAGGCCTCTGGGGGCCAGGCTGTCCTGCTTTGCCACCGGGTCATGATTGACAGTCCTGGAAGAGGGTTTGTGTGAAAGCTCCAGCCCCTCAGCCACAGGAAGAGTGTCACCCTACAGCAAACTGCCAGCATATGGAAGTGTGACAGGCTGCTTTTGGATTTCCAGCAAGACAATCCTCTCCAAACTCGGAAGGAAAGGAAATGTCTGTAAGACCAGCCAGGGATCTTACTATGGGAGAGGAGATCCAGGGGGAATTTTGTCACTCCTGGCTTGCTGTTTGGAGCTCAGCATCTCACTGGGAGTTGAAGCTAAGGCTGTTTGCATGTTACTCTGTACCCCCATACTGAGCTACAGCCCCAGCTGTCACTTTCCACTGCCCACCTGGATGTTTCCCCTCACTATCCGAGGACTTAACAGAGTTGGGCCCAGTTATGACCACTGTTTTCTCTCACACCTATCTCTCCAGCCACGGTGCTTTCAAAGTAGGCAGTTCTCTGAGGTCGGAAATATTATCAATATCTTGCTGGGAGGAACCTGGTAGTAGGATGCTACCAAGAGAGGCAGGGACAACACTAGCAGGGACAGAGTGAGTAGCTTTCATGGATTTTCTGCTAGGGACCTCAGCCTAAGGGCCAGATAGTAAGCAGAGAATACAAAACATCCAAGTAGCAAGGGCAGTTTGGAGCAGATTCTTTGGGCCACCAAATTGTAATGTTTTTGGTGTAGAAGCCCATATTTCCATATCTTCCTCCCTCAAGTTCATTCCTTAGGCTGGCAGTGCCCTGCTCCAACATTCTATTGTTGGTTAAGGCTATCTGGGACCCCTCTGTGGACTGAATTTTGCAATGCTCGTTCATACAGTGAAGCTGTAGCCCTCAGTGTGACTGTATCTGGAAAAAACGATGAACATCAAGGAGGTAAATACAGTTACATTGAGTAATAATGGCAAGGCCCACATGGCTGCTGTCCTTATGAGACAAAGAGGAAACACAGGGACCTAGGCACATGAACAAAGGCCGTGTGAGGACGCAGCAAGGTGACCCTCTCCCAGGAAGAAAGACTTCACTCAAAACCAAACCTGCTCACACCTTGTTCTAGAAGAGCCCCCAGGTCAGTGAGAAGTACATTTTGGTAATTTAAACCACACAAGTAGCTTGTATCCAGCAGCCCCAGCCAATGCATAAATCTAGTCCATGAGATCTGACTGAGGGAAACATCTTCCAGGGAATCCACCCTTTTCCATATAAAAGGCACACTTGAGGGTGGAATCCACTTGCAAGAGGGGTGGGGTGGGGGGCTTGGACTGCCCAAGACTCCGCAGCTGCTATATGCATTTTATTGCTAGAGTGTGATAACTTCTAAAATATGTGTGAGCAGAGTCACTGCAGTCAAGGAAGCAGAGCTGCAAAGAGATTAGGACGCCAGCCGCCAGCCCACAGTTACATAGATAGTAAATGGAACCCAGTGTTCCGGATTGCTGCCTCTGGGGTTGGAAGATGCTGGGAGCCAGGTGGGGTGGGCTCAGGGGTGGCCTAAGAAAGAGGCTAGCCAAGATGAAGAGCACTGGTGGGGGAGTCAGTCTGGCAGGCAGAGGTGTGAACAAGACTCTGTGTGTGTGTGTGTGTGTGTGTGTGTGTGTGTGCGTGCGTGTGTGGTGTGCGTGCGCGCATGCGCGTGTAGAGCCCTTATCCTTAGCGACCGTGTGGGGGAGAAGATGGTTCTGCCTCTGGGAGGAGGGTCTGAGTTCTAGGCTAGTGTTATTCAGAAGAGTCCTACAGGTGGCCAGTGTCTGGGCCAGGAATCTTTCTGACACAATACATCCTATTTTCCATAGCAACCTGAAAGTTGATGAAATTTTCTCCATATACATGGAGCCATCCACCCTGCCCTCTTGCAGCTCCTCTCTGGCCATTTTTGGTATCAGACCACTCAGAATGCTCAGCCTTCCACTGCTGAGTTAGGCCTGCAATAGCTCCTTCAAAGAATCTTTCATCCCTTGCCAGGCCTGGACAATATACCTACACCTCCCTGACGATTATTACTGGCTCACTCCTCATTGCCCCCTATATCTCTCCCCAACTTAACTGAGGGATTCCTGGTGGTGGAGTCTAGCTTCTCACTGTCCTGTCACTGAACCTCAACCACAGGCTGGGCACCCGTGGGTTCTCCACATAGACCAGAGCAGAACTGACTTGGCTCCCATTGAGTTGAACTTCCTGGAGCCACCTTGTCATTCCCATTGCACCCAAGGGTGTAGTAGCATCTTCCCTGTGATCCTGTAACATGGTCACACCCCTTTGGGCGTGGCTTCAAGTGTGGACAGAGTGGAAAGAGGAATGTGTGAGGCATGGTCTCTCTCTCTCTCTCTCTCTCTCTCTCTCTCTCTCTCTCTGGTTGTGGATCGGATTGGAAGGGCAGAGAAAGGCTGTGAAGGTTCTTTATTATAATCAGTGTAAGTTGTTCCCCAATAAACACCCATTTATCATTTATTTTGGTTTAGTGACTTTAATATCACCCGCTGTCAGAAGGGTGGTCAGTGTCCAGCCAGCGTTTGCAGGGCTTCCCTCAAATGCTAGCCAGGGAGGCCCGGATAACATACAGGCCCAGACTTACTTATTTTGCAGCAGCAGTCAAATGCCAGGCTATGATGTGGAGGTTTCCCAGCTACAACAGCCTCTCCGCAAGAGGCTGGAGCAGGAACAGGCATGCCCCCTTGATAGGTCCAGCTTTACCAAGCCTTCGCTCCACCTTAAGAAAGCAAGTGTGGACAGAACAAGCAGGCTTTGGTGCAGGGTACCAAGTCAGGCCACAGGGATAGTGAGAGATGAGGACAAAGCCAAGTGTGGTAGAGGGTGAGGAGAAGCCAGGAGGGCACCAAAGGAAGGGAAGAGTGTGGGTTAGGGAGGAGCAAACAGTGATCAAAGGGAGCAATAGCCACCTGGCACTCTTCCTGTAGCAAACATTATTTCCCAGGCCTAAGCCAGGGTCTCCGGACCCCACTGGTCCTCACCTTTCTCCTCTCTCACAGGCCACTGTCACCTACCCACACCTCCCAACACTGCGAGGGCCCTGAGAGAGCCACCACGCGTCATTTCCCTAAGGCGTGTTCTTCATTCTGGATCCTGCCCTCCAGGTTAGGTCAGGGTGGCAGCCCAGCCAAGGGTGGCCTTCCCTGGATCAGGAACAGCTCCCCAGGGAGCTAGAGGCTCCTGTGCCTGCCTTCTGTGGAGACTACGTGGGAACTGTGGCCTTTTTCCAGAAAGAGCAAACTGATTTGGTTTGAGCGTGTCAGTTTCCCGAGCTCTGCACATATGGCTGGGGCCAGACAGGAACTGGTCCTTTCCTGTCCCTCGCCACACCCAGGTCTATCCTTGTCAACTTCTGGTTCTGCTTTGGGGAGAGAGATGTGCATGGAGTGAGCTGGTCTCCCCACATCAGGGTTTAGAACCAGCTTTGCTCCTCATAATGGCAGAGGGTGGGCAGGCAGGTGGCCCCTTCCTAGTCCCTTTCCTCCGGCTCGGGCTCCCTGTCCCCTGCCCCTCCCTCCGCTACTCTTTGCATCAACACATAGCCATGCATTAAACAAGACATTCCATTAATTTCTTCATCATCATAACGTACGCCGGGACATACCCTTTAAATATTCATTCAGCTATGAAAACTGGGCATTAAAATTTTAATAATGTCAAGCTCATTTGAACCAGGCTCCTTGGGGACGATTACGATACAATTAGAATAAATACGAT